CTTTTGTGTGTGTGCGTGTAGATAGATGTATTGAAATGTTACTATTTAGAATATGTATATCTATCATAAATTCCAGTCACGTGTTCAAATCTGTTGTTCAAACGCTACCTAAAGAAAAAACGCCACGAATTTTTATACCAATATAATATAATTTTACGCATTTAAAATAATTACTCCAAAAATGTTTAATTACGAACTGCTTTAAGCACAACAATTTCCTTAATAGCCTTTCACAGTATATAAAAATCTCAACAGTTTCCACCCAGATCAGTATATAGATGGTACTATGAGCAATCTATGGCCTTTGTATCAGACTCAGTAAATTCTAGTAAAAGACGAATTGGATTGGAAGATATTAATTGATTATTTTGAATGAGTATTATCTACTTGCCATTAAAATCAGCGCACAAAAAATGATTTGAATTCCATTTAAAATCTGATTGCTGGCCACAGTTGAAAAAATCAGTTAATATGCGCTTTCAATAACAATTTTAAAATTTTTATTCTTGTTACCTGATTTGCTTATGGCTTGCGTTAAATGCACATGTATTCTATTATAATTCACTTATTGTGGAATATCTTTGCAAGATTATTACGCTTTTTATTAAGATTAATGACACTGATGTAGTTCTTTTTCTAGTTAATTGAGTAAAAGAAAGAAGTTATAAAAAGCACTTAGCATGAATCATTTTGAGACCGGTCACGTTCTTGAAAACAAAGACGGCATTCGATTGGTCTGACAACCAATCGGTCTGCAGGCTGAAGAATGCTTGAAATTCGAGTAATCATACAGTCACTCACACGCACAAAAAAAAACAAAAAAAAAACATATATACACCTTTTCGTTCGTATGTGTAGATACATCAATGTATTTAGTCAAAGGAAGTCCGAAAGTAAAAAAAAAACAAAAAAAAACGTCACATGAAAAAATTGTTTGTCATTGATTATCTTAATATATACATATATTCTTAAAATGCATTTATAAAATTCAACGGTAGAAGTCATCGGTGATGTTACCCTGGCTTCATTACAATATTGCAACATCAGATCCGTTCTGCCAGGTACCCCGACCTGTTAACAGGCCGCCGCTCCACAATGAGATTTTAATAACAGAAAATGTATTAATGATCAGGAGGTAGATCTTTTCTTATATATATATATATATTACTCACACACATACACACACACACACATATATATATATATATATATATATATATATATATATATATATATATATATATATATTCTCGTGACTGCTGGTCGCTCTGTAAGTGTGTGCCAAATATGTGTAAGTCTCCATCACTCCTCTCTTCAATCAATTTGAATTTGTCGATAAAGTAGAATGTCTCCGTTGAGTGATATGCATATAAATCCATCCATAGTTTCCGTTATCATCTCCAAACTTGATGCCCGCAAGACATGTAGTCATGATGGTATTCTTGCAACTGTCCTGTACAAATCTGCCCTTGAACTGGGCCCCTGTTCTCTTCAAGCTCTACAATAGCCTCTTTACTGCTTCTGCCTTTCCAAATTATTGGAAATCCTATTGTTAAGAACTTGTTTAATCCTTCAAAATATCCACCTATTACTTTTTTTTGGCAATGTACTAGAATCTCTAATCAATCCGGAATCGATTAAACATCTCACCTCGAAACGTCTTCTTTTAGACATGCAATATGGATTTCACTTCTCTATGTCAATATATATGTTAACGGTTATTGCTGAAAGAATCTTTTATGCTCTAGATAAGACGAAGCTTGGGGTGTTGCTTTAGATAGTTCGAAGTCAATTGACAGGTTTTGGAATGATGGTCTTCTGAACAAGCTGAAGTGTTACGTGTTTCTAGCTATTTCTTTGGTTTAATTCTATCTTTCTTATCAAACCTCACAAGGAAAGTTGTCTTGAACGGCTATTAATCATTTTAAAGATTCTTTCTGTCTTTCCCTCTGCAGGGCTGATACTAAGCCCCTGGAAAGCAACTCATTACAACTTATTGGTCTCACTTTTTCGCTGACAAGAAGTGGAATAATAAGATTGAATGAATTACTAAGTCTGCTCTTATGAAATTCGGTTCACATTTTTGTGCCTATTCTTGATAAAATCCAAAGAAGTATTTGCAATGTTATCGGTCATGACCAGACATCTCAGCAGCACTCAATTTCCTACCGCTATAATGTAACTTCTTTGTACTTTTCTATAAATATTTTTTCACGGTATTTATTCTGATTAGCTTTCCTATTTGGTACATCAACGTCAGGAATTTAAGAGCAGTACTAGATTGGCAGCATAATTTCAATGTTGCACTTGCTAGTTGTAACCATAATTTCTATGCTAATAGTTTCTTCCACCTTCCGGTTTCCTGCTTTTGTGTCAACTGCAATCTACAAAAATGTCATTCATCATCGTCTGTCCACATGAATCCTGCTCTATAATTGTCTTCTCTGTTTCTTTCATTGCATTCTAGTGACTTTTATTGCCTTGCTTGAGGTGAGATGATTTAAAAGTAGAATTTCCTAACAAAATATCAATACGTACCGTCATTTTTGGCGGCATGAGTAAACTCATAATTGATAAGAAGAATTAGAGAATGTTTATTTATGACTTGTATATAAAATTATGGATTGAACTGCAGCAATCTTCAAATGGAAAACAAAAGAGATTTTGCCGCTGTTTATTGGATTATTGAGAAGAATGTGCTTAAAATGTGTTTATCTGTGTTTGTTTTTTTTAGTTTATATATGGAAAATCAAAGCAGAAGAAGCGCATGATAATTTACTGTTTTCTGCCTCGTTTCTATTTTGAAGAATTTAACTATTGTTAGAATAAATGTTGGAATATTATTTTCTAATGCAATTATCCTTATTTCCTCCAATAATATCAAAAACAATATAAGCTTTCTACGTCGAAAAAAAGATGTACCTAAAATTTAAAACCGTTATTTTTATACATATGCCATGAAAGAAAAATCAATATTCCAGTGTTTCACTTTTTACTGTACCAAACAAAGAAATCTTAACATATTTAGTTTAAATTCTTTCCTAAACATCCATTTTTGATTGTTTTACATATATATATATATATATATATATATATATATATATATATATATCAGGGATGTGCCGTCTAGGTAGGCAAGATAGTCATTGCCTACCCTGAGTAAAATAGATCAGCAACTATATTTTCCTCCTGTGGAACAATATATACCTAATACAAGAAAGGTTAATCTGATCATTTTGGATAAAATACAAAATATTTTATTTTATTTTATTTTTCTTAGATTTATTACATAAAGGCCACAAGCTGCCTACCCTGAGTCACGTTCTTGATATATATATATATATATATATATATATATATATATATGTGGTCGCTGGCGAAACCCGTTGCCGAATATTGGGGCGTTCCTCGATATTTCCTTCTGTGTAAAAAGAGACTTATGTTGGATCTAAAGAGACATTCACAGCAACCGTTTGATACGTTAGGAGGGTTCAGGGAATGGAGGAGCTCTGGGTTTTCTTTGGACTCTTTTCCGCTCTCCTCTTTGTTCTCAGGTGCTTTCAAAGAATGTTCTTTTTCGTGGACTCCTCTTCTCCAGTTGGTTCTTTCTGCAAATTCCATCTCCCAATTGACCGACTCGATTTCTGTCAAGGTTGTTTTGAGGTTATCCTTGAATCGGCGACGTGGGAATCCACGTGGTCACTTGTTAGATGTGAGATCTGAGAAGATGATTTGTTTGGGTAGGCGGATGTCTGGCATGCGGCCGACGTGTCCATCGAAGTTGGTGGCCGAGTCGTGATGGTTTCTAGACGATCCATCTTTTGCGCGGAGGAGAACTCCGTCGTTTGTGATCCGGTCCTGCCGGATACATACATATACATTTATTCACACACAAACACACACACACATATATATATATATATATATATATATATATATATATATATATATATATATATATATATATATATATATATATAATGGGAAAAATGTATGAAAAAGTGGGAAAAAAACTAAACATGCGCGCGAACTAGGGATGCTGGGAATTTATACATTTTTTTATCTAAACGATCTTATTTAAATTCTATTTCTTTACATAACATTATTTAGTAGATATCCCACACTGTAATAATAGAAGTTCTGCCAGGAATTGTGAAATACAAGAGCCCGAGCAAAATTAAAAAATCCTATCATCATTCTTTCGTGCGCATGTGTAGTCGCACCAATATAATAAATTTAGACGTAAAGGTTGAAACGCAACACAAGAAAACTTTTTCCACTGTCAAACATTTTTTCCCAATATTGTTCCCCGTATATGTAATGTAATGTAATGGATTCGAACTCGGCCCTCCGATTCCTCAAACCAAGCCGCTATCCTTTACTTTACTTTACTTTACTTTACTTTACTTTACTCTACTCTACTCTACTCTACTCTACTCTACTCTACTCTCTCTCTCTCTCTCTCTCTCTCTCTCTATATATATATATATATATATATATATATATATATATATATATATATATATATATATATCTACTTTTTTGTATCGAGCACTATTTTTAAAAAATAATAACAAAAATACTAAAGAACTTTGGATTATTTACCTAACGAGTCCTATTTTCTATATATTTTTCATATATATACTACTGTACTTACTGTACTGATGCGGCATTCACCCTGGGCGGATTGAGCCGGCTTCTTCCTGTTATGAGAAGAAGATTCTTGGGATAAATTACAGAAGTAGGGTACCCAGTCCTACTCGAATAACGTTCTTGCTTGCCGCGGGGTTCCCACAGACGCAGAGACAGGAACGACCAGAAGCCGCCGGTTACCGATGCAGACGCTCCTTGGATTTTCACCAGAGCCCTTGTTAGCCGGCGTGTGTGTCAGACCTGTCCGCCTTGGGTGGCCCTACCAGGAACGAAGTTTCGGGCGGCATAGCTCTGACACTACCGTTTACACCCCCCACCGACTGTGAGGTAAGGGTTGGACTTTATGCTTACGGTCAAATCACGCTGAAACACCGGTTCTCGTTCGATCACCGAAGTTAAGCATCGTAGAGCCAGGTCAGTACTTAGATGGGGGACCGCTTGGCAACACCTGGTACTGTAAGCCCCCAAAGTCCAATATATATATATATATATATATATATATATATGATAATTTTTTTTTTTTTTATTCAAAGCAGTAGAAAAATATTCTTTTTACACTTTGTTAACAATGGGCGGAACTTTAAATATCTGGGAAATGTTTTGACGGAGGACGGTAGGTGCGACGCTGAGATCCGAACGCGGACTGGGAATGCCAAGGATGCATTCCAAAAGCTAAGTATAGTACACCGAGACAGGAGGATTTCTTTGGTGACAAAGAAAAGAGTACTGAGCTGTCACGTGACATCTGTCCTCCTTTACGGCAGCGAATGTTGGTCGGTATCCTCAAAGTCATCTTTGAAGGGACTCTAGGCGGCGGAGATGTAGTTCTACAGAAGGATGCCAAGGATATCATGGACCGAGCGTCCGAGCAACGATGAGGTCTTGGAGAGGATGCAAACAAAGAGGAAGCTTATACTTAACATCAGGAAGAGGCAGATGGAATTTCTGGGACACGTAATGAGAAAGGAGGGCCTTGAGAATTTGATACTCAAGGGTTGAATAGAGGGGAAAAGAGACAAGGGAAAGCAACGCATGACATACCTTGCGGGCTAAAGCAAGTGGATGACGGAACGTGGTCTGGGAGAGTTGGCAGAGGGACGAAACTTATTAAGAGCTACAAGCGATAAGAAGAAGTGGTGAGCCATGATCGCCTACATCCTGAAAGGACACGGCACATAAAAAGAACAACAACATATAAACTCGCTAACACCAAAAATCCCTGTTTTGTATATCATTATGTTTTACATTTCTCTTACTTGTGCGTATGGGGGTAGACAAATATTTGTTTGTTTACAATTTGTTAACAAATATGTTCGTCTTGAAAATAATCTAAATATAATTTTCATATTATGTAATAAATTAATTATGCTACCCATTTTGTAGAATGGAAAAGTATCAGTAATTTTAAAACAGTTAATGTCATTGTTAGTTAAAAATGTCTTAATTGATTGCAACAGGCGATTTGAAGCCAAGCAGTCTCCTCTCTTAATTAATGACATTTAGTCATTTAGAAAGTTGATTAGACGACCTCCTATGGCGTCACTGCTTAGCGATGTCTGCTTTTCCACGTCAAATTATTTTTCTTCGTAGTTATTTATGAAACATAGTTGAGTTTTGACACAAGGCCACATATATTTGGCACCCAGTGAGAATCGAACTCGCTACATGACACTTACGATCAACCAGATTATATTGTTAAGCCTTACCTGACATCCAGGCTCCTATTCGTGTGGGTGAAAATTCTGTAACCGCCTACACAATTACAAAAGAAAAGATCGCTGACCTCATATGAGAAAAGGAAAATTTTGAATTTCTTGTGGCAACTTATTACACCTTTCTTAATCTGCCGATGCTAAAGTTGAATATAGATTTCTGCAATAGTTCTTGTTAATGGTATTTTTATACAAATATTATTAAATTGGGATGGAGAAAGAAGCTTTCCAAAAGCCAAGGAAAGTATTAAGAAACAGAAATAATTCGTTAGGAACGAAGAAAAGACTTCTGAACTGTTATGTAATATCAGTCTTCCTATTTGGAAGTTAATGCTGGACAGTCTACTCACTGATGAAGAAGAGACTTAAAACAACAGAAAGTAGTTTACAGAAGGATACTATGGACCGAATATGTAAGCAACGTAAAGTTCTAGAGCAAATGGAAAAAAAAGGACGCGAATACTTAATATCAGGAAGAGACAGGTGATATTTCTAGGGCAAATAATGAGGAAAGAGAGCTTGGAAAATTTGATACTCGCAGGACAGATTGAAGACAAGAGGGACAGAGGAAAACAATTCATAACATACCTAGCGAGCTTGAGGGAATAGATGGTGAATCATTGTTTGGGATCCATAAGAAAAAGGCAAAATTTACTAAGAGCTACGAAGAACAGGACATTCTGGAGCGCTATGATCGCCAACGTTCTAAAAGGACACGGAAAATAGAAAAAGAATATTACAGAAGCAGCCATTAATCGAAAACGAAAGATTGAAAATCAAACAGTTTCAATTCCAAAGATATATGATCAATGATACAAATTACAACAAATAGTCTTATATCATTCTTCTAAAATATCGTAAATTTGTATAAAATAAAAGAACTAGGGGTAAAAACAAAGTTTCAAGGTATCCACTGAAAATTGGCATCATTTTGCAGTCTATTAACATAGCCAATTTTCGCTCAAATGATCTCAAATTTTAACAAAATTTGTAAAATCTAAGTTGAATGCTTAATTTTTAATTCTTTTTTTTCAGTCTGAAGAATGAGGTTCATTAGAAATGGAAAGGCATTTTTTGTGCTAGAATATGCTCGAATACAATAACAAAAGTGTGTGCAGCGTGCATTTCCAAGAAAATTCAATAAAAATGCAACAAATGAAAAGCTGATTTGGAAATGGCACCAAAAATTCAAAGAGTAATGGTGCCTGATCCAGGCAAAGGTATCCGGGCTACTTCCAGTATCAGAAGATGGTAATGAGGTTCGGGAAACATTTGTGCAAAACCCCAGAAAAGAAGAAGAGCATCTATGCAAACCCAGATTCCTCGTACGACACTTTGGCGTTGGAGAATGTCACGCAAAACATGCTACAACGTGTTTGGCAGGAGCTCTATTACCGACTTGACGTATATCGTTTCAAAGGTGGTACGAATAGTGAACATTTGTGAAGCTTTGTCCAGTACGTATTAAAATCTACACACTTTTAAATATCTTGTTCGAATTTTGATTTTCAACATGAAGCCTATTTAATTTCGTTTGCATGGACATGTAGTTACATTTTAATTCACATTTTAAATTATGTAATTTTGTGGGGACACCCTGTACATTAAGGCAGGTTGATTTTTCACCTTTTTGAGAAAATCAGCATTGCACTCGAAAATGAAAGCTTTGTTTGATGTGATACTTTCTGACACCAAAAATTGAATTCATAGCTTAAAACATTTTGTTAAAAATTCATGTTAAAACATTTTACAAATGTTTTAACATTTAGTCGCAAATGTCGACTGAAAAAAATTTTCAGAAATATCTAATTTCCGCAGGCTTCAAAACTTTACTATTTCAACAATAAATCCAAATAAAATTAGTATCTTTTGTATTAGATATATTGAAATATTTTTTACTGTATTCGATAAGTAAAAAATGTGTATAAGAAATTGTAAAAGATTACAAAAAAGATCATAATTAATAAAATCAAAAACTATATAAAAGTGTATTTAACACCATAATACTGCTGGAAATAAATTATTAGACAAAATATTTTAAATTTGCATTGTTTAAAATTGCACTAAAATTACTGAACTGTTTAATATATTACATCAAGATATAACTAAATTGTTCAGTATAATTTCCCTTTGAAACAAATGAAAGGTTTTTTTTTGTTTTTATTTTATGGCACAATGATTTAGTAATAATGTGCTTGTGTCATGCACCATTCCCATATAAAATTTGTAAAACTTTAGAAAATTATAAATTTCATAAGGCTGTGCTATAAAGTTTTCACGGAACACCTGAATGAAATTGCAACGCTACGATTTTGAAGAAGGCACAATGGAGTAATAGATTACATTCATTACATGCTAATACCCTTGGGGAAGGTATGAATCCTCTTCTTCTCCCACCAGCTATGGGTAAATAACAGGACAGACCGGGTGCTATAGCCTTGGATAGCAACTGGTCTACCGCAGAAAGTAATGGCTGCTTACTTGGGAGAAAATCTGCCTCGTCTGTCATGTATTAAAAGATACATGATAGCTTAAGCGGGTATCATTCATGGTACATAACTGACTGAGAATTTTGAACCAAAACTTAATCTTCAAAATGGTTTCCTCAAAAAACGATAAGAACTTGGGAAATAATATTGTGTGTCATTATTTATCATGTCAAACCCCAAATACGAAAAGCATTTATTTTACGCATTCATTTAATACCTTCTTCTTTGTAACCTTATTTAACCCAACATTTCTCCTTTACTCTGATAGAAAACGTGTAACATTTAGTGCAACTAAAACTAAGCTAGTTACATTCCATCATTACCGAAGAGACCCTGAATTATCTCTAGTTCTCTCAATGAGGCTTCTTGCCTTGAACGTCTATTGAGATATCAAGCACAACACATACAATCCATCGCTATAGATGCTGGGAAAATGGTCAGTTCTATCTGCCGCTCTAGAAAGAGCCTGACACCTCCTGTCATTCTCTATCTTTGCATGAATCAGATCAGAGAGAAATTGGAGTATTTATGCTATATCTGAACTGGACGAAATTCAAAAGCTTTTCTGCAGCCTGGTTGGCGATGAATTATTTTCAAATCTACAGAGCACCTTTTCAACAGACAAATCATCGCATCGGTATCGGTATTTCCATGGCATATATTCAGACGACCGACATTCCTTAGTTTCACCAGTTCAAACCTTTACTGCTAAAACTCACCATGTCATGTGCAGACGGTTGAATCATCCTCATTTATTCCATATTCCATTAGTAAGGAGGAAGATACATTCTAACAATTTCCTCCTAAGCGCCGCTGCCATGTGAAACAGAAAATAAATATCTTAACCCGTCCAAGTCTAGGATCAACACTTATCTATCCTACATATCCTCATAATCTGCACTTTCTCCCTCCCTGTTATGTCCACACGACATCCTAATTCTGTAACCTTCTATATTGAGTTGCTCATATTCGAATAACATTTAGTACATTTAGTTAAAGAAAAGACTGAACAATATATATATATATAATGTAAATTTATTTAATCTCGGTGGGAAAAATCTGTATAGCACAATTTTCAAACAAATTGGTATCCGAAGAAAAAACTTTGTAAAGAAAAAAGGACGAACCAGAAACCTTCGAACGATGCGAAAGTAATCGTCCAATATATATATATATATATATATATATATATATATATATATATATATATATATATATATATATAATCGAGTTCACCCCATGCGAAGTAGTAAAGTCACT